TTATACATATTAAAGCTTTTCTTTGCTTTTTTTTCCTTGTAAAATATATCAGAAAAAGAAAAAGCAGAAATTCTGTTTAAAGCTGGTTAGGAGTGAGGGCGGGATATTTGGTTTATCTCACCTTTTGGACCAGGTCTTAGAAACATTTCTTGAGTCTGTGAACATCAGCCCTTTGGACCTAATGGACAAATGTCTTTATGTACCACCATCAACCCCTCAGTAGTTGGGAGACAGCTATAATGTTCGTTTTCTAAAGCGCACATCATTAAAATATGCAAAGAAAATACTAGACGGGAAACTGAAATAAGTGAGATGCTATATCAGATGCTCTAAATCTGATGTTTGCAAAGCAGCCAATCCATAAATGTCATTAATTTTTGTTTCTGTGAATTTTCTGTATCCTTAATAGCGGAGATGAGAAAGACCTTGGATGTTGGCAACTGCAGTCATGCCAAGACTTGTTTATACTACATAATCCCCCCCATTCTGCTTTCAAGTGGAATCCTAATTAACCTTAGCAGTTGTTTTTGTTTATTAAGTTCCATGACTACATGTGAATATAATCCTCAAAGTCCACCAAGGAGATCCACAGGGGTGTTCAGTAAATACGGATGCTTGCTTTTGATCTGGGAATAGTAACTTTTCATTTTTACTGCTAAAAACAAGAAAACAAAAAATAATATTATTGACAGTGGGCCTATTTTTTTCTATTAATATAAAAATAACCCTTGTCAGTCAAAGGCCCTTAGATGTATCCTAACTTTTGCCCTGTATGCAAGCTAATGTACCGGCACTGAAAATTTAGCAGATAAGATTAAATAGTTTTTTTGAACTTAATGCAGCATGTTTTTATATAGCTTACATGTGGTGTGACTACAGTCAGTATATAGTAAAGAAACTGCAAGTCGCCAATCAGGACGCTTTCAGAATCCTCCTGAGGTTTCCACGAACATCTTCAAGTCAAATGTTTGTCATGAGTAAAATACCAACTTTTCATGATTTGCAGAAGAATTTATGTATAAATATATGTGCTGCTTGTATGTACCAACTTAATAAAGCCTCTGACAACTGCAACATATATTAAATACATTTCTAGCTTTTTTAACTATTGGAATAATTGTTTATCTGCTTTGTGATGTTTTTTTTTTTTTTTAACTTAATGATGGGTGCATTATTTTTCTAAATGTCATAAACTACTTTTTGTCTTAAAATAAAGACTCGAACTAATGCAAAGTTGTTTTTTTACTTCCCTACTTATCACTGCCCACACTCCAGTTCAGCAGGGGGCGGTATTGCACCAATTTCGTTCTACATCAACCGCAAAAAACGATCGAAGAAGAAGCAGCTTACATGGCTAAAATAGATGGCTGCTGCATTGTCCCATCTAATCTGAATATTTCAGCAACCATGTGTTCAGTTCAGCATCTCAGAGAGTTTATCAGAGAGAGACTAACTGCTGCTGCGGAGGAAATCTTCACAGAGGTTGAAAAAACCATCATTAGCTACGAGGAAGAGCTCGATGCTCAGCGCAGGATGATGGGGATCAGCTGGAAACCAGACATTAAGCTACACAGAGTCGGTTCGGAGCTGCAGAGACAAGTTCTGGTGGGTCTGGATAAAATGTTTTCACTGCAGACAGAGATCCGTCAGAGGAGATAGTTGCTGCAGCTCCAGCTGCTGCTAACAGGAGCCGTGTTAGCTGCTAGCTCTGTTAGCTGCTAGCTCTGATGCTACAGAGTTTAGCACAACGTGTTTATGAGTCAAGCCTCATAATTATTATATTACTAATTGTTATTAGTGCTGGGAATCTGGAATACAATGTGTAAATTGTTCATTTGTAAAGTCATGCATGATTTTGTAAATCAGAGTTTTATGAAGGAGACGCGGAATGAGCTGTTATTTTTTCATACGGACACAAAACAAAGGGATGAAACAACAATAACAAGGAAACGGCCAAAGTGTGTCAAAGTAGAAACATGCAAATTATTTTTCTCTGTCGCTGCACATTTGTTGTGTGGGACATAGTCAGGTTAACTGGATCAGATGATTCCAACAGTGATAACAGGAAATTATTTCTTTGTCTCCCAGACATTCAGTTTTCATGTGTCTGTGGAGACCTGATGACTCCAGGAGGATCTTGGCTGCAGTTTTCTCACAGAGACCTGAGATGTGTTGAGCTGCTCCACCATCCTCAGTGTTTAAAAAAATGAGGCTAGACATAAGGTTACAAGTGAGATTAAAAACATATTGTTTTAATGTATTTTGAGCTATTCACTGTATGAATGCCCTATAGTTAAACACTTAATTGTAAATTAAAAAGAATCTGTATGAAACTGTTCTTCTAGATTAAAATCTGAATATATTTGAAATCTTAACATTTTTGCCATGGCAACAAATTAATGTGGAGGACACTTCACCTTATTTTTAGTTAAAATATATAAACTAATTTTAGATTAACCATATGATGCCCACAGACTTGAATCTGCAGGGAAAAGCAGGCTGATCCATGAGAGAGTCATCAATTAAATTTGTTCCCACAGACCTCCAACAGCCAAGTGTCTCCAATGAGGATGAAATTTCTGCCAACCTACAAGCCTTTAGCCTGGCAAGAAGGTCCATTCAGGACCAGAAAGAACATCATTGGACTGAGAGGAACAGATTAAACCAGAACCTAAATGGATTAAAGAAGAAGAGGAGGAACCAGAACCTACATTCTTCAAACACGAGGAAATGGAATATCCGCTGTTATATGTAAAAAAAGAAGAGCTAGATTTTTCAGTGCTTCAACATGAACAGCAGCCACTAGAACATTTCCCAACTGGAACAGGACCAGAAGAACCTCTGCAGCCATCAGGAGGGAGAGCAGCAAACTGTCCAGAACAGTTTGGTGATTTGATTGAGACTTCTACTGTTCAGGAAGATGATGAATGAAGAAGAGAAAAGTACAGAGCAGCTTTCTTCATGTCTCTCCAGTGGTTGAGAGCAAAGATCAGGAAGGAAGCAGCTGCTCTGTGTCAGAGAGTCAGTCTCGTACCGGCACAAAAAAAAAATCTTTCAAATGTGACATTTGTGGGAGATGTTACTCACAACAATATGACTTGAAATACCATTACAGAACTCATACTGGCGAGAGACTTTTTTCATGTGAAACATGTGGAAAAAGGTTCTCTCTAATAAGAGATTTAAATCGTCACAAGAGAATTCATACAGGTGAGAAACCTTTTGCATGTCCATCATGTGGAAAACATCTCTCAAATTAGTAATTTATATCGTCACAAGAGAACTCATACAGGTGAGAGACCTTTTTCATGCCCATCATGCGGAAAGAATTTCTCTCGACTTAGTCACTTAGATCGCCACACCAAAAGTCATACGGGTGAGAGGCCTTTTTTATGCCAGTTATGCGGAAAGAATTTCTCTCAAATTTGTCATTTAAATCGTCACAAGAACAGTCATACATTTGAGAAGGGTCTTCATGATTAACAATAAATCAACAGTAAATAAATATGAGCTTAACAATGAAATAATGGCTATTGCCTCTGTGTTTTTGTTGTCTATCCATCTACAAAGACACTGACTGACAAAAGTTTCTCTCTCCTCTGTTTTCTTGGTATCTGCTAAACACACAGGTAGTTAAAAACATAAATTTTCTTCCAATCAGTCTGAACCCAACACACAATAGTGACGAAAGCAACAAAAGATGAAAAGTTTTCAACTTTATTGCATAGTGTATAATCCACGTGTATGAGTTAGAAATGTCACATGCAGAAAGTATGGATTTCACTCGGCTAGATGAGAGCTAGCGACTGTCGCCTCACCATACATTCTCCATAAGACGGAGAAACGCTGTCTCCTGTCACCGTGACTATTACTCCGGTTACCTGCTGGGCTCCTTGTCTCCTGCCACAGAGTGTAGCATGAAGGCCGGTGAGGAGGCAGTCTGGGAGCATATTGCATTCAAACTACAGTCTATCCACGTCTCTTGAAGACAAACTGGCTTATGAAGAGAAACTCTTAAATTTCTCTTTTTTTTCCTTTCTTCTTATCTGTGAAAACCTGAATGTTCTTTTCTTGACTGCATAGTTCAACCCTACAGTTGTACACTGCTGAAAAAATAAAGGGAACACTCAACACATTCTAGATCTGAATGAATGAAATAAATATGAAAATAATTTCCACCTGTTGTCTATTCCATTTGCACAACAGCAGGTGATATTGATTGTCAATCAGCGTTGCTTTCTAAGTGGACAGTTTGATTTCACAGAAGTTTGATTTACTTGGAGTTATATTGTGTTGTTTCAGTGTTCCCTTTATTTTTTTGAGCAGTATACTTTGCCTGCTACTGAACTCTGTTACTGTCAAGTTCACTAAGTAGGAGCAAATAATTTAATGCAGAAAATAATGCAAATCATTTAATGTTCAGAAAATAGGATCTTTGCTTTTTGATCTGGCAACTTTTAATTTTTACTGCTAAAAACAAGTAAAACAAAAATTGATATTATTGACAAATCTGCTATTTTTTCTATTGATATTAAAAATAAAGCCTGTCGGTCATGGGCCTTTGGGTTTATCATAATGTTTCATTCTTGTATGCAAATGAATGTATTGACACTGAAAATTAGCATCTCTGCAGATATGGTTAAACTGTTCCGCTTTGAAACGTGTTGCACTGACATATATAACTCACCTGTGGTGTAACTTCACAATATAAGCTCTGACACCTGCAACATAAGGTGATATTAGATATTTCTAATCCTACTAACTATTGGAGTCATCATTTATCTGCCTTGTGATGTTTTTTACTTGATGATTTGTGTATTTTATTCTTTTCTAATTGCATAGACCACTTTTTGTCTTGTAATAAAGATGTATAATTTCATAAGAAGTTGTTTTCATTTACCTATTTTTCGGCTGTCCACACTCCGGTTACGTAGGGGGCGATATTGCACCAAATTTCTTGTTTGCCAACTGCAAAAAAACATCGAAGAAGAAGCAGAAGAAGTACGCATGACCGAAACTAGGAAACTGCAGCGTTGTCCCATCTCAGCTAATATCTCAGCAACCATGTGTTCAGTTCAGCATCTCAGAGAGTTTATCAGAGAGAGACTAACTGCTGCTGCGGAGGAAATCTTCACAGAGGTTGAAAAAACCATCATTAGCTACGAGGAAGAGCTCGATGCTCAGCGCAGGATGATGGGGATCAGCTGGAAACCAGACATTAAGCTACACAGAGTCGGTTCGGAGCTGCAGAGACAAAGTTCTGGTGGTCTGGATAAAAGTGTGGATGTTTTCACTGCAGACAGAGATCCGTCAGAGGAGATAGTTGCTGCAGCTCCAGCTGCTAACAGGAACCGTGTTAGCTGCTAGCTCTGTTAGCTGCTAGCTCTGGTGCTACAGAGTTTAGCCCCGACTCAACACATAACTCCAATTGGTTTTAGCGACGGAAATTTGGAGTACAAAGTGGAAATTCTTCATTTATAATCTAATACGTGATTTTCTAAATAATATTTAAAAAAAACTACATGCTGTCCGTCCACACTACGGAGTCCCCTAAGGAACATAGGGAAGTATTTATTTTTGCGTTACCTCGCAATAATCATTTAATGCGGCATAATTGAATATTGTAAGCCTTTCTTACAGTGTCCATCGTTCTTTCTGCTATAATGAGGATTTTGTGAGATTTTTCTATGTAAGTTAAAAAAAATTAAGATATGTTCTTCCTGTGTAAAGTATCATTACTCAGGTGTTAAAGAAAATGTTAGCTACTCCCATCCCAACCAAAATTTTAGGCTGTTACTGCTTTTCAGTCGAACATCTCCAGAACATGAAATAGTCACCAATTAAATTATATTAATCATGGTTTTGTTCCTACAGACCTCCAACAGCCAAGTATCTCCAATGAGGAGGAAGCTCCTGTCATCCAACAAGTCAGGAGCCTGGCAAGTAGGTCCAGTCAGGATCAGTGGACTGGAGAGGAACAGATGGATCCAGAACCAAAATGCCACCTGCACTACTCAAACATGAGGAAACAGAATATCCAGTAATATACATAACAAAAGAGGAGCAAGATTCTTCAGTGCTTCAACATGAACAGCAGCCACCAGAACATTTACCAACTGAACAGGACCAGAAGAACCTCTGCAGCAGACAGGAGGGAGAGGAGCTTTTCCAGAAGCATGCTCAGCACAGAATGATGGGGATCAACAAGAAAACCAAAAATAAAGCTACACAGAATTGGATTGGAGTCTCAGAGAGAAAGTTCTGGTAGGTCTGGACAAAGGTGCTCATGCTTTTGCTGCAAACAGAGATATTTGCTGCAGCTGCTGTTAAAAGGGGCTGAACTGAAACTGATTTTAGCTGCTAGCTCTGATTTTAGCTGCTAGCTCTGATGCTACAAATGTTGATAGTTTTTTAGCTCAGCATAAACAGAAAACCTGTTTATGAGTAAAGCTCCCTGACAAAATATACAAATTGTTATAATGCTTGAAATCTTGCGAATAAGATGTAAAGTCTTCATTTGTAACCTCATACGTGATTTCGTAAATCTTAAAAAATGATTGCATTCTGTCCGTCCGCAAACATCCAGATCAGAATAGAGCAGTGGAGGTTATTAGGAAGGAGAGGGGAGACGCAGGATGACATGTGTTGTTTTTCATAGGGGCACAGAACAAAGGATTCATCAAATAAGGGCAATAATTCATTGTTTCTTGTAATAACTGAGCCACAGAGTTGGTTGTACAGCCCTGATCTAGCAGATCAAACCTGTGGTCCTATCTGTCAAGAGGGGAAATCCCAGTTCTAGATTAAAATCGGAATGTATTTGAAATTCTTTTTAACGTTTTGCCCACAGCTCCAATTTAGTGAGGAAACTTAACCTGATTTTTAGTTAAACTCTATAAACTAATTGTAGATGGACAGAAGGATGTCTACAGTCCAGAATCTCCTGGAAACAAAGTTGACCCATGAGAGAGTCATCAATTAAATTATATCAATGTAATTCCCACAGACCTCCAGCAGCCAAGTGTCTCCATCTCCTGTCATCCCACAAGTCTGGAGCCTGGCAAGTTGGTCCAGTCAGGACCAGAAAGAAGCAGAACATCATTGGACTGGAGAGGAACAGATGGAACCAGAACCTACACTGCTCAAATATGAGGAAATATATCCACTATTAAATGTAAAAAGAGAAGAGTTAGATTCTTCAGTGCTTCAGCATGAACAGCAGCCACCAGAACATTTCCCAACTGGACAGGACCAGAAGAACCTCAGCAGCCGTCAGGAGGGAGAGCAGCAAACTGTGCAGAAGCCGCTTGCTGCTTTGATTGAGACTTCTACTGTTCAGGAAGATGATATGAATGAAGAAGAGACCAGAACAGAGCGACTTTCCCTTCATGTCTCTCCAGTGGTTGAGAGCAAAGATCAGAAAGGAAGCAGCAGGCCTGTGTCAAAGAGTCAGTCTCGTACCAGTACAAAGAAAAGATCTTTCAAATGTGACAGTTGTGGGATATGTTACACACAACAGTGGAAGCTGAAAATACATTCCAGAACTCATGTTAGTGAGAAAACTTTCTCATGTGAAACATGCGAAAAAGTTTTTCACAACTTCTGATTTAAAAGTCCACGAGAAAAGTCATGCAGTTAAGAGGCCTTTTCATGCCACTCTTGCGGAAAAACCTTCACCCAAATTATCCATTTATATCGCCACAGGAATATTTATGCAGGTGAGGCTTTTTCATGCAAATTGTGAGGAAAAAGTTTCTCTAAATCTCATAGTTTAAAAACCCACACGAGAATTCATGCAGGCAAGACGCATTTTTAAAGCAAAACTTGTGGAAAGGTTTTCTGTGAAATTCATCATTTAGACATAGTTAGAGAAACCCTCTTGGGATGAGATGTGTTTTTCACATGAAATGTTTGTGGGGGGTGTCTTTCATGATGGTAATTTTGGGCCCCACGACTAAAAATAAAAAATAAAAAAAAATAAAATTGTGTGCAGTTGTCACAATTATTTTGAGCCTGTTTTACCCATTTAAAGTAAAACTGTGAATCCTTGCAACTTCCTTGATTTCTCTGGTCCAGCAGTGACATCATGACAATATTTACTGATCGTGAATTATACATGCAAGGGTGCAGTAATCTGTTTGAAGCAAGATTAAAAGCAGTAAAAGTAATGGTAACACTTTATTTGATGGGTTGTGAATAAAATTGTCATGACACATGAGCTAGACCTCATCTACATGAGTAAGTCTTCATGTACATTTATAACATTGTCATAAAAGTGTCTTCTGGAAAATCATGACATATTTGTAAAAAGTGTCAAACAAAATGTATTTGTTATGACATCTTGACAATAACCAAAAAATCATGATCTGACATAAATTTGTTATTAAAGCAATACAGATTAAACTTAAGCTTTAAAGCTACAGTTTAATCAGTAATACTTTTATTACATTCAATGGATGTAATGTTGCTACACACTCATGTACAGTAGGCGCCATAGCTTCAGGTTGCTTGCGATCCGCCATAATAGAAAAGAAGAAGAAGCCTGCATACGCTAAGCTACTAAACTGCTGCTGTCCCATCCCATCTGAGCTAATATTTCAGCAACCATGTGTTCAGTTCAGCATCTCAGAGAGTTTATCAGAGAGAGACTAACTGCTGCTGCGGAGGAAATCTTCACAGAGGTTGAAAAAACCATCATTAGCTACGAGGAAGAGCTCGATGCTCAGCGCAGGATGATGGGGATCAGCTGGAAACCAGACATTAAGCTACACAGAGTCGGTTCGGAGCTGCAGAGACAAAGTTCTGGTGGGTCTGGATAAAAGTGTGGATGTTTTTACTGCAGACAGAGATCCGTCAGAGGAGATAGTTGCTGCAGCTCCAGCTGCTAACAGGAACTGTTAGCTGCTAGCTCTGTTAGCTGCTAGCTCTGATGCTACAGAGGCTGATAGGACAAAATGTTGCAGCACAGACATTTTTTACGAGTTTCTGAAAACCAGATGGAGATCATTCATCCAGCCACATCTCTCGCACTTTCAGTTACTAATCTAAATGCAGAGGCAGAGCAGTAATTAATGGTTTTCAGCATTTTCTTGGATCCACTTCCTTTTGAACTTCAACACATCTGCCTTATTAAAGAAAATCCTCTTCTTTTTCTTCCTTTGAACGGTAGATTACTGAAACAAGTCTCTGTGTCTCATCACATTTATAACCCAGAGAGCCAGAATGTTTTACTAATTTAAGTTTCAACACAAATCAACTTTAAAAAGTGAGGTTACAAGTGCAATTAGGAAAATATTGTCTTAATCTCGGATGAATTTTCACTGTATGAATGCTCTAAAATTAAACATAAATTCGTTGAAAAAAAAAGTATGAAACTGTACTTCTGCATTGAAATCTTTAGAACATTTTTGCCACAGTTGTAATTCAGTATTGAGGACTCTTTGTCTACTTTTCCATTGAACTCCACAAACTAACTTTAGATTAATCATTTGACGCCTGCTGACCAACATCTCCAGGAACACCCAGGTTGACCCAGGAGAGAGTCATCAATTAATTATACTAATGATATTCTTTGTTCCCACAGACCTCCAACAGCCAACTGTCTCCAATAAGGAGAAAGCTTTTGCCATCCAACAAGTCAGGAGCCTGGCAAGTAGGTCCATTCAGGACCAGAAAGAACATCAGTGGACTGGAGAGGAACAGATGGAACCAGAACCTAAATGGATTAAAGAAGAAGAGGAGGAACCAGAACCTACACTACTCAAACATGAGGAAATAGAATATCCACTAACAAATGTAAGAAAAGAAGAGCAAGATTCTTCAGTGCTTCAACATGAACAGCAGCCACCAGAACATTTCCCAACTGGACAGGACCAGAAGAACCTCTGCAGCCGTCAGGAGGGAGAGCAGCAAACTGTCCAGAACAGTTTGGTGATTTGATTGAGACTTCTACTGTTCAGGAAGATGAAATGAATGAAGAAGAGAAAAGTACAGAGCAGCTTTCTCTTTATGTCTCTCCAGTGGTTGAGAGCAAAGATCAGGAAGGAAACAGCTGCTCTGTGTCAAAGAGTCAGTCTGACAACAGCACAAAGAAAATATCTTTCAAATGTGACATTGTGGGAGATGTTACACACAACAGTGTAAATTGAAAAAACATTACAGAACTCATACTGGTGAGAGACCTTTTTCATGTGAAATATGCGGAAAAAGTTTCTCTCTAAATTACGTTTTAAATCGTCACAAGACAATTCATACTGGTGAGAGGCCTTTTTCATGTCAGTCATGTGGAAAAAGTTTCTGTCAATTGAGTATTTTAAATCGTCACAAGACGATTCATACGAGTGAGAAGCCTTTTCATTGTCAAACATGTGGGAAAAGATTCAATCGTAGGGATAATTTGAACATTCACATGAGAACTCATACAGGTCGGGTGCTGCTTTGAAGACAACTTGTGAAAAATGTATTACTTATCGTCTTTAGAACCCACATGGGGGAGATGTGTTTTCCAAAAGAAATATGGGTTGAAAGTGTTCTTTTATTATAATAAACTGAAATTTCACATTACACAAAAATGAGAATTTGTCATTTAACTCACACTGATTCGCTGTAATAAGTATTAAACAATGTCTTGGATTGTTTTCACTTTGCAAAACACATGGGATCCTCACCTAATTTTGGATACCCATTAATTTGTTTTTTATTGAAAACATATCCGTGAAAAAAAATGTCATTCATAAATGTATGTGCTGCTTGGATCTATCAAACAACTGCAGAACAGCTAAAATAATACTTTTTTCTTTTTTTATATTCATTGGAATAACTGGTTATGTGGTTTGTGGCGGATGGTTTTATTGTTTTATAAATGGTATGGACTACTTTTTGTCTGGAAATAGAGACATTAATTAATATGAAGTACTTCTTTTCCCCCTTTATCGCCTGTCCACACACTCCAGTTCATTCGGGGGTGTTATTGCACTAATTTGCAGTCCATTGTGTTGTATTAAAAAATGTTACATTGACAGAAAATATAAAAATATTACTGGGAAATTATGTTACTGGAAGACATTGCCAACAATATTTAAATCCACAACTACAGAGTCTTACAGTGAAACCTATTAAAGTTCTATTAATAAAGACTGGAGAGACTCCAATGGAAATTAGATGAATAAAATGATATCTAGCATATTGAAAGAAAATGTAACTTCAACAATTTTACAAAACTGTTGGTAATATTCAAAATTTCAGATTAATGGATTAAGATGCATTGTAGCTAAATGGGATAAAATGTATGGATTAGAGAACAAGGAAATGGAGTTTAAGTTGATTAGTGTTGTTCCTCTATGGCTATTTCCTAAGGTAAATAAAGACATGAGACTTCATAAAATAAAAAATGATTGGAATTTAAAGGAAGCAGGGGTAAAGACAGACATATATTAAAGAAATCACATTTTGATTACCTTAAAATATATTCAGACGGTTCTAAGAATATAAAAGAATGTGTGGGAATAGGAATATGTATATACCAGATTTTAAAATATATATCTTTCCAAACAATTATCAGAGCAAATATGTGTTTTTACAGCGGAAATGGTGGCAGTTATAATAAACCTGCAGTGGGTTGAGCCTGAAAGGGAGAGATTGAAAAGAATAGTTAGAAGGACAGGAATGGAGTCTTAAAGGAATATTGGAAAATGACGGAAACATAGTGAATATTTACGGATTTAGGAAAGCATAGTCATTTAACTCACGCAGATTCGCTGTAATAAGTACTACATGTATTTTTCTTCAGAATACATTTTAAGACAATAGAATTTAATGGATGTAATGTTGCTGCACACTCATGTACAGTAGGTGGCGCCATAGCTTAAAGTTGCTTTCGATCCGCCATAATAGAAAAGAAGAGGCCTGCATACGCTAAGCTACTAAACTGCTGCATTGTCCCATCTGAGCGACTATTCCAGCAACCATGTGTTCAGTTCAGCATCTCAGAGAGTTTATCAGAGAGAGACTAACTGCTGCTGCGGAGGAAATCTTCACAGAGGTTGAAAAACCATCATTAGCTACGAGGAAGAGCTCGATGCTCAGCGCAGGATGATGGGGATCAGCTGGAAACCAGACATTAAGCTACACAGAGTCGGTTCGGAGCTGCAGAGACAAAGTTCTGGTGGGTCTGGATAAAATGTTTTCACTGCAGACAGAGATCCGTCAGAGGAGATAGTTGCTGCAGCTCCAGCTGCTAACAGGAATTGTGCTAGCTGTGTTAGCTGCTAGCTGTGTTAGCTGCTAGCTCTGATAGTTGCTAGCTCCGATGCTACAGAGGCTGATAGTTTTGGAGCTCAGGACAAAATGTTGCAGCACAAACAGAAAGTTTGTTTACGAGACTCTGAACTTATCTTGCAGAGCTGCATTTCCTTATGAATTCCTTCAGACCCTGAGCTCCTCTGGCACTGAACTATTAACTGTTCCCAGAGTCACTTAGTGTGAGGCACTTTCCAGTGTTATGTCCCCCGTTTGAGGAAATGACTCCAGGAAACATTGCTGTCTTTAAGACAGTTTTTAAAAATTCTATTAACTGAATTCAATCATTTTTGCTTAGTCTGTGCATTT